AAAATATATAAATTAGTACTCCTAGATGCGAGATGAATTTTGTTGTTAGTACTAACCCATACTATTTTATGTTTTGATACACTCTTAAACTTTTAGCATTAGCTAATGTAAAATAAAATAAAATATATCAAGACAGAGATGCACGCAATATATTAAATCTTTTCGAATGCACTATTGATTACAGCAGACTCTCTAATTGTCCTTTTAGCTAGAAAAAAATTCGATAACCATTGAGTAAAATAAACACTTCTTAACAACGGACTAGTCATGAGGTGTCCAAAAGATGCTTCGGACTAGTCAATACCGTTTACGTCGGCTTGTTCCTCATTTTCTATGCATGGATGGGAGTCAATATATAAGTTTAGACTATATATACTTACGGCAGTCTATCTCAGTATCCTAGACTGCCGTCAGGATGTCCGTCATATCTTGAACATTGTCGGGCTGGATGTTCAAATCCACCATGTAACCTCTGTTTTAATCTTCTTACTAGTCTGGACTAGGTCAACAAACAACACGGACTAGACATGACTGGGCTCAAGGACATTTCAGACTAGTACAGACGTGTTTGCAAGACACTCCTCATTAAGCTGACTAGACAAGACGGGTATGCAAGACGTTTCAGACTAGACTTGACGGCAGCAGCGGACATTTCTGACTAGTCATGTCGGCAGTCTCCCTTCATTTTTTGCTGACTTGGGTAAATTCCCCTAAGCCAAGCTTCTGCGATCAGTCGAGATCTGTGAATATAGTACTTCGTCAGAATTCATTTATCATAAATCAAAATGAAAAAAAAAACAATGCGTATAATTGAACAAAGCAAACTCACCATATTATAATTCATGTCATGAATCTAAATGCAGAAAAAGAATATATTTTATTGAAGAAAGTAAACTCGCTGTATTATAGTTCTTTTCATGGTTATTAATGAAAAAGAATATATTTTATTGAAGAAAGTAAACTCGCTGTATTATAGTTCTTTTCATGATTATTAATGAAAAAGAATATATTTTATTGAAGAAAGTAAACTCGCTGTATTATAGTTCTTTTCATGATTATTAATGAAAAAGAATATATTATGAAACAAAATGAATATAAAAATCTCTGCTTGGCATATTTAGAAATATTTCTCTTTCAAAATAAAAGTAAGATAAAGATTGGTAATATATGTATATTATTTGAGCTGCCCTCTGAAATCAAAAAATTAATTTATTCCCAATGTATGAATATTAAAATATTTGAAGCATATGTTTCAGTAGACGACAGTAATTAACAACTTTTTTTTAACAGTAAGGATTGAAGATGAAGGAATAAAAAGGTAAAAAATGGTGATCATCTGATCATAGAATAACTTCGGTGGGCACTTTAAACAGCTGAATTTTAGAATCGTTAACTATATCATTATTCGAATTAACCTTGTGTAGCCAAACCGAAACATCATCCACATTCCACATTAATGGATCAAAGTATTCATCTATAACAATAAAAAGCACAATCCTTAGTAATTTTCATGTATTGAGTGCACACTTCTTAGTTTGGATAACAATATCAGAGTACTTGAAGAGCTACCTTTATTTCTTCTTGTCGCGAATCAAATTCAAAAAATATTTGTGTTTTGGTACATTTGACAGACATGAGTCTTCTTTGGTAAAAAAAAGTGTATTAAGAGAAAATAAAAGATGGTAATAAATTATTGGAATTTCTTTGATTAATTTGCAGATGAAAGAAAAGTATTTTTGGTGTGTTTATGAAAGTATAGAGACATTTATTGGAGAAGTTTAATAAATTATCCTGTTAAATAAGAATATACATGAAAAGGATTAAAACAAAATACGGCAATTTTTTTTCATAAATAGATGTTAATTTACTCTTTCTAGGAGCTCAATGTGCATTATCTGAGCTAATAAAACTAAATACTTCAAACTATATGATAGCTAGCAGCCCCTCTTCTTCAAATCACAATTCATTTTACAACAGTTGAAGTAAACAATACTAGACCGCATATGCATGATAAAATTTCTCTTTATTAGAGAAGCATTTGTCTTTTTTTTATTCGAAATACAAAATAAGCATACGAAGAAAGAACAAGAACACAAAGAAAATAGAATAATACTGGCTCATCACTGTTCATGTGGATACATCTCAAGAATGGTTTTTGCTTCTAAAAGAATAATGCTTGTTTCAGTCTATTAGTAATGGATATTTCCTCATTATTTCAATCATACGATTGGTTATAGAGCTTTTACGTAAATTAGTTAAACGAATCTTTAAACATAAGAACTTCCCGTGCTTCACTGCAATGTTTTCATAGATAGTAATGTTTGGACAATGAACAGAACTTAATTCAATAAAAAATGAGAAAAATAAAATTTCTGGAATGGAATGACGATTTAGTGCAGTGCACCAAATTTCAAAGCAAAATTCGTTATTTAATATATTTACAACTGTATACAACTAGGAATATAAAAATAAGATAAGATTCTTTTGGAAAAGAAGAATCTTATTGAATTTCAAGAATTCTAAAAGTTTTAGAAAAAACTTTCGCGTACACTGGAGACGATTTCTGTTATAGCTACCGATCAACTACTAAACATGTAAATTATACAATGGCAACGTGAAAATGAGAATGATGAAATTTAAATACTAGTTCGGTTTTCCACTATGTTTAATGGGTTTCAGAGATATGTTCGGAAGCCAAGCTAGTATTCTGGCATACGCTTTCAACGATTCCGATCCCAAGAAACCCAAAAGGTTCTTGAAAAAAGTTGTCGACAACCGATAGGTTCCTGATGACACGCTTTAAGTTTCCGAGAAGGTTTTCAAAACAAGAACGGTTTCCTAGGATAATTTTTGGGTTTCGAAAATTGTTTGATGATTTCTGAGAAAGCTGTTAAAGGTTTCCTATCCGAATTCTCAAAAGCTGGGTGTGGGTGTGGTTGAGTTAAGAATACAGTCACATCCGCACATCTCATACCCACATCCACACTCACACCCTTACTAGAAATTCTTCTCATTCTTGAGGGTGGGGTCTTCAAATCTATATGAATATTGATTCTTAAACCTATACGATATCAATGTAGAAATTTCCGTAATTACCGTAATTTCCAGATAATGGCGGAAAGTACTCGAGAATCTACCCTGTGTTTTGGTTCTAATTTGCTTTCATTTTATTAGTTATTTCCAAAATTAACGGGAAATTTCTTTTTGTATGTGAAACTAATTTCAGAAATTCCCAGGATATTTTGTTGGGTGGCATTTGAAATTATGGTATTTTCTGATAATTTTGTTTTGGACGTAATGGCAATTAGGGAAGTTTCAAGGAAATTTCTGTTGGCACTCTTGTGTGTCTTTTAATAGTGTGACAGATATTTGTTATTTCGGAAATCTGAACATACCTCTAACCATATCGGGGAGCTTTGATTCGAAACCTATCCAAATCTGATAACTTGATAGCGCATTCGAAGATAATTCTAAAGTATATAAATTTATTAATTGAATATCGTATCTTGTTCGAGATATTTAGCTTCCAAAAACTGAAAAAAGTTCGTTTTCGTTGGAACCATTTTGCTCCAAAGGAAACGTCGGACAAAACCGTTCCACCTTAGTAAAATGATCATCTCATTGAATAGTATCTACTCAGAAGGTTTCATATGTTTATCATTGAAAATGGATATATTCCAGGTATGAAATTTTGGCTAGGAAATCACAAATTGTGTTCCCCATTTAAACCCCTTTGGATAATTTCCAATGTTTTTAAATGCACAGTATGCTAGCAGACACAAGCCATGCAAACTCTGAAAGTTTGCTTCCATTCTCATGAAGTGAATCTAGAGTCTGATACATTCTCAAAAAGTCAACCTCATATTATTTGACCCGTATCTTTATGAAAATAAAACTAAACATTAAATAATTTAATACCAAAACAATCAGCAGAAATCCTTCTGCAAGTTCTGAACGTTTCAAGAAAAATGCGTTTTTTATTTACTGTAAAAAAAAGAAAAGTGTACTTTTTGTATTTGACCTGTATCTTCACGAAAATAGAATTTATTTCAGAAAAGTTTATTACCAAAATGATCAGCGAAAAATTTTCTACAAATCCTGCTACTTTGAATGGATTCTCGTGAAATGACCCAATAATTATTTTCATTCTTTAAATGTTATACGAAAAAAATGATGAAGAATAAAACGTTAGACATAGAATTTCCATTCATCTTTGATTTGTAGGTTTTTTTTATCAAAGATTCTTCCCTCCTTTAATAGCATTTGTTTGCGTCTAGGGTTGAGAAAAAGGTTAAGCTGAATATGTTTGTTTGAATTAGAAACTTTGTTTTCTTTTTCAATTTTCTCTTACGAATCTTAATGAAACGCAGGGTAGCACAACATTTATTTTTTGATGAACATTCTTGACATAATGATTATGTATTCAGGTTAATCATTTATATTATTTAGAGCTGTCTGTTCATAGATCATCTCTAATTTAAAAAGTGTCATCCAATAAATAAATGGATAAAAAGAGCAATTCCTTGATCAATTTTATTTTTATTTTTACTCTATTCACAATGCAACAATATCAATAAACTTTCATACAACATCCCGTAAGAAAGCAATTAAACATGTAGGTGAAGACAGTTTGTCTAAAGTTTAGATAACGAAAAGTAGTTGTGCTTTGGTTTAATAGTTAGCTGCATTTTGTACAACCAATAATATATTGAATTTTATTCAACTGCAATTGGGGAAAAGCCTTAGAAATTTTTTTTGGAACCTTTTTCCAATGAATAAATGCAATAAAATTAAACAAAAAAAAAACAATCAAACAATAATTGTATTAAAATTAATTAAATTCACCAAAACATTTACTGAACAGAATAAAGGTCATTAGCCAGATTGAAAAATGATGTTGTTATTTGTTGTTTTGTGCACGCTAAACAGCAAGATTACAGATTAATGTTTATCAAAACTTTTTAAAAACATTAGCGAGCGTTACAACAGTATCTGATTCATTAACTAAATACATTGACGTGTCTTGCAAGATAAGTATCGGCTGTTATCATATCTTTTAAGCTTTGTGGACTAAAAGAAAATAAAAATAATAGGTAAAAGATGAATGCTACGAAAGTAACACCCTCACGTTTTGAAACAACATGGAAAACACACGGATCGTGCACCGATTGCTGTTGTTAAAGTTTGCCAATCGTTTTGATTTGATCGTTGAGGAAGATTTTCTTCACTAAATTTTTGTAAACGACTCTTTGGAAACCCATCTGTATAATATTTCTAAAGAATTAAGTAAAGCATTTTTAGTCAAGAGTTGAAAATGGCACAGTGCTCACATACTGACGAGAAAATTATTTTTGATTTTACTTAAATACAATCTAGCTTCGAGATTTATTTCATAGGGACAAAATATCATTGCTGAAACAAAATTTAGAACTATTTCAGTTCGATTTCTATGATGTTTATAGAGATTTTTGAACGAGAGATATCTTTTAATCAGTTCAAGAATGCTAAGTTTAATAGAACTCTTTCAATCGAGTTAGTCATCATTTTAAGTAAAAGACACTTGATTGTATTACAATGCTCAAGGCCTCTAATGATAACAAAGTCTGCATGACACAGACGTATTTAAATCCTTCATTTATCGACATATGTACATCTTCAAACTGATTGTGTCTATCATTTATTTCTTCCCATCAATGAAAAATTTCATATACGAATAGAATGATGGAAAAGCAATAAAAACAGAAGAATATTTTTAAGTACATGATAACTAAATCATGTAACAGTATACAGAAGAAAAATAGATGATTTATTAGTTAGTATCGTCAGAATGAATTCTATGAACTAATTAAACAGAACTAGGGATGTGCGGCGTCAGTAGCAACACCGAAAACAAAACGTCACTTTTGCCACCGGCAATGATCCTCAGTGCGCACTGATGGGTTCAGCGCCACTGACCACCGAAGTATTGATCACGCTGACTTCACTGATATCTCTTAATTAATTGTTACATAATACTGCAAGACATGTACTTTAAATAAACAAAGAGTGATCATAAAGTAGAAGCATGTTTTTTTGTCGAAGATTTTCACTTATAACTTATTTATCTAATTCTTCGACGAAAATGTATTAATTTTTTTCACGTTTTTAATACTCTAACCATTAATTTTCCTGACAAATATATGCATCTACTTTATGATCATTCTTTGCTTATTTAAAGCACATGTCTTGCAGTATTATGTATCAATTAATTAAGAGATATCAGTGATGCCGGCATCAGTGTGATCAATATTTCGGTGGTCAGTGGCGCTGAACCCATCAATGCGCACTGAGCGTCGCTGTCGGCGACTATCGTTGTTCAGCAAATGCACATCGCGCATGCCCAAACAGAAAATATCAAGTTTTTCATGCTATAACAATAAAGAACTATTCGCTTTAGTTCACACTATATTAATAGTCATGATTATATTCATGTAGAATAATAGAAGAATCTTTTCTAGTTATACTTGCTGCTGAAAAAGAAGATTCTTATTGAAAATTCACAGAAAAATATGCTATAAAAACCTCAGGATTTATACCTATCTAAAATGGTTCGAATAATTTATTAATTCAAAGGATATGGAGATTTCTATGTACAGCCTTCGAATGAAAATTGTTCCTAAAAATTGTACAAATATTGAGGGGTGTCCAAGGACTGAGAATTAGGAATTCCTATTTCTCAGTTCTTGGACACTGCTGGATGAAGATACTTACTTTAACTGTATCATATCCATCAATAATCAAAGCAATAACTAAACTTGATACAACATAAATGAATAAGCATATAAATGAATATAAATATATTTTTGAGAACAGCCATACATAAACCGATTCGGTTTCTATATTAGCATATGTAGCGTACATATCATCGCCATTAATTAATCCAAACAATGTTTCAAACGTTGTTGATAAAGTTCGAAATTTAGTATGATAAGGACCTAGTACAATCCATCCACAAAACATAAATCCACAATAAATAATAAATGAACATAAAAGAAATCGAAGAATTAATGGTAAGGCTTTTTGAGCTGTTTCAAATAATAGCTAAAATAATTCAATTAAAGTTAAACGATCTAATTGATTGGCTGATTTACTTACATTATATTTAGGGAAGAATGATAAATAACGTAGAATACAAAACCAAGAAAATAAACTACTTAAACCAAGTAATAAACCGGCTGCATTATATAAATCAATCGTCTAATAATGACAAAAGAAAGTTCCGATGAAAGTTTATCTTATTAAATTATTGCTTTTAAATGTGATGTTTCTTCTCATTGAAATAATTCATTTCTCGATGTAATTCTATTCTTTTATGAGACTTCTAGGCATTGACTAACAATTATGGAAATACTTGAGAAAGTAAACCGTATCAACAAAGATAATTAAGAAAAAAAATGATTCTTTTTTTATGCATAAAAGATTTTCATATTACTTTAAATAAAATTGCAATTTTAATAATTGTTCCTGGTATAACCAATAGATCTGTTATTATCATAAGAAAATACCAGAAAGAATAAAAAATTTGTATATCACTCCAAGTTAATGGACTCTCATTAGACCGTTCTCGAGAATAATATCGGCGAACTTCTTTACATAAACAATGTCCAAACCATAATGATCGTGCACAAAGAATAAATGAAATAACACTTATAAATAAAACCATACAGTCCAAAGTAATTAATAAATTACGACGAATTAAACTAAAACTTGCATTCTGTTGTACCACTTTTTGATTACACGTACGAAAGTATGCTTCTGAATTAAGATGTTGAAGAATTTTTCCTGTTCGAACATTATTATCAAATACTATCTAAAGAGAATATTTTGTTTTCTAGAAAAGCAAATGTCCGTCTTCTTTTTCAGTCAAATACTTTGATTAAAAAATGATAACAATCAGGTAGACTAAACGGTTTTTGATTTTTAATTTGAACAGCATGTAAACTGAATTCAATTGTTAATAAATTCAGCCTGAAATTAATATGAAAAAAAAGCTTTGCATAAAACAAGAGTTCAGAAACCTTTTTCTTACCCACAATAATTTATTGTTTCATTATGCACTCTTAATAAATATTTTTCGAAATCAAAATCATTTGATGCATTAATAGCAAAACAAACTGAAGAAAAAGACTAGAGTAAATATTCTGATTAATTAAAATTTTCTTTACTATTTTCAGTATGCGAATCTAATACGTAAGTATGGGTAGCTGGATCAATGCGGCATGTTTTAAAACGATTTAAACATACATTAACCAAACGTCCAGTTGATTCTGAATATGATCTCGATGATTTGTCTGTTGAATGGTCATGATAGTCAAATAAGCCTAATGATATATCTGTCACATTATCGAACTAAACATTGATAATTATGTATATATGCATCTGTATATATATGTATATATTCAATAGAAAAATATTTAATAGAAGAATTTACTCGTTTTACAGCATAATTGATTGAATCCATGAAATCTTGATGAGTATAAACAGCAAAATCGCCCGATGCTCTTGGATATGGCAATGTTTCATCTTCGGAACTCCAACCACGGACAAATAAATGATGAAATGTTATATTACTTTCAGATAAATACATCACATGTGTTTCTCTTTCAATACCAAAAACATATAACTATGCAAAACAGAAAAAAACAGAATATTGTTAGAATTTTGTTTGTATGTTATAAAGAATAAAAATAAACCTGTGAGGTTAAAATTAAAATTTTAATAAATTGAAACCATGCTTTCCATGGACATTGTCGTTTCACATGCCATTTCCAGCATGGTGACATTAAAAAGAATCGCAATTTGGCTCGTAAATGTGTACCGTAATCATGGGAACAACTTCCATTGGATGCTCTTGTCGATGGCGGCTGTTCAATTACAACTGTGGGAGTTGATGTTGCATCTACATTATTCTGTAAATCATCAAATGGCAAATTTAGTAAGGGTACAGTGTCGCGTTTTATACCGCTTGATATTCTATCAGATGGCGATAAAAATAAAGAACGAGTCATTATTTTGATTGAAAATGAATCAAAAGAGATTATTTTGTAGATGTAAATTCTCACTTTGCAATCAAACTTTTCATTGTAAGGAGTTGATTGAATAGCGTAGGTAACCGTTTGAATAATTTTTTTATATTTGTTCTATTTCTTATCAATTGCACATACCTTGCACTTGTGCGAGACTTTTTGCTTTTGTTCGTATCAAAGGATAAATAAAACACATGTTGTGTACGCTGATATTTTATCTGTAAATATAGAAAAAAAATGGAACTTCTTTTCTTCTTCGTCTTTGCTTTCTATATGTCAAGAGAACGAGGAGATAAAACTAATCGATTTTTGTTGGTTGAATAACAATTCTGTGTTTAGTCTTGACAGATGTATTACTACCATTGGATAATTGTTTGATGAATATGTTGATCATTTGAAAGTTGTTTCTGAGTTTGTATAGAATTTTTTTAAACCTATCACAATGTAAATGCATTAAAAGATGAGGCGTCACTTGATTCGCTATTAACGCAGGTAGACAAAAAAATACATAGATATCAATAAAGTGATCCAAATTAAAGAAATTCGATCTTTTCACGCATTTCATGTGCCAAGAAAGGAAGAAAATAATATTTTGTTTCATATAAAAAAAATGAAAAACGGAAGCAATTGTTCCATGATGTTTTTGTCTTTATCGAAAAATACCGAATTTTATTCTAAATGTGAAGTTTATTAACGAATCGACTGATTAACCACAGATAAATTGGCAACCATCTGACTAGGCCACCAAGTTAGTGTAATGTGCAGTCTACTTGAAAAACAAGATGCTAGCAAACAATGAGCACTAAAATAGTTGAAACTAAAGTACCGTGTTTTGGATACATTGTAATGAATGCTATATTTTCATTTCGCGTATGTTGCTGAGAAATATACAATTAAACAGGAAAACCGAGCTTCTCATCAGCTGGCAATGTGGAACTTGATCCCAATCTCAGTTATCGAAAGGAGATTTAAAAAATCGTCATTATTTCACAAAAACAATCAGAAAAGACAGTCGGGAAAACTAAACTTTGGATTTTGTTTCTAAGAAGTCAATGATTTTTGCTTCGTATTTTTCTCATTCGCACGGAAGAGATAAATACATGAATTTCTTATCAGAGCTTCGATGACAATATTTTTACTTGTCCTTCTAGAACCTTTTCAAGTGCAAGTGACATATATAGTTTTACGCGTAGTATTTGCAATTGTCCTAGCCCTGATTCTGATATCCCTTTTAGTCCCCAGAAAATAATATCGTAGCCATACTCGTTCATCTTTTCTAGACGATTGTTTTTGTGATAATCTACTGGCAGCCGTATGAGTTGATAACTAACTCAGATGTGTTTAATCAATAGATTGGTTACTTATCGATTAAAAATTCAATCAACAAAGTTGAAATTAGCAGCGAAGAAAAAATGAATTGATCCATAATAAATCAGTTCTCTTATATTATTTCGATATTACACGATATTGATAATCAACTTTATTGAGTGGCCAATAAACTAGATTGTATTTGAATGACGCTCGAATACAAAATACATGTGAAAGAGGAATCTTGGTTTAGAAGAAAAAGTATATATAATAAGACACGAGTAATTGTGCTTGTGAAGTATCGCAAAGCATGCCTGTGCTGTTCTTTGAATTTTACAGATTAGCGTGCATTTGTTGTATAATTCGTTTTGCTTAATTTTTATTTTATTCAAGGAAAAGAGAGATGAATTATAACAAGAAGAATAAAGAAACGCCATAGCACTTAAGAAAATACAACGGGGATAAATAAATCAATGAATTTCGATTACGAATTTGACTCTTATTTATGTGTCGCTACGACTCAACGTTGTCGATTAGTAAGAGTAAGAGAAAGGCAATGATGTAATTAAATAATTTTTAATATTCTTTTTAATAAAAATAAGCTGAGAAAATATGTTGTTAGGCACGTCTCTTTGGAAAAAATAAAAAATTTGAAATTTTCAAATTGAAGAAGAAAAGAATGCATTAAAATAATGTGAAGTTTTATTTGATGAGAACTTATAGAGTCTAAAATGGGTGCGAGTGTAAATCTGCGGATGCGTAAAGGGAAAAATAATAATGACATCCACATTCATCAAATTGAAACAAGTAATTCTGTGAATAATTTCTTATTTTAATTTCAATTAGAAGTCAATGAAAGGGAAAAAACATGGATAAGACCACGTAACAATGGATATGCTTAAATTATGTTTGGCGTAAGTAAACGTTTTCATAGTAATTCATGTCATTTCCTAATAAATAAATAAATAAATGAAAACGAAAAGAATTAAAATCATATGAAAAGAGTAATAATATAGAGACATGAAATTCAGCGACAGTACGCAACAATAAAAAAGCGTATTAAGTCATTGCTAGGTAAAATAAACTTCCAATAAATTTTAAAAAAATACGCATGTCTAAACAATTTTTTAAAATAATACAGTTAATTAATAAAATTGTAAGTACTACGTAGATATGGTTTTTCTACGTAGGATTATAAAAGACAACATCGGTGCTTATCCATGAATAAATATTTGCGGGCCTTTTCTTCGAAGGTTATAACGTCCGAATAAACTTTTTTTTCACGAATTCGGTTTTACATCTCCAATAAAATTATTCGTAAATTCAATTGTATATTCTACATGAACAATTTCTCTATCAGATGCTCTTCTTTGCGTTTAATAGTACATCTTTGATTAAAATTAATTGGTTAATTAATGCGACGCGAAGCAGAAGCATTTCTGTAGTCCGTCGCGAGTTTTCTTTTTCTTTTGTTTTCTCGACGTACGCATCTTTTTCATCATTTTGTGACCCGATGATCTCGAGTGCCAAAAATCATAGAAAACTCATTGAAATGGGAGATGAAAGTATCGAGATCGAACTTCTGACATATTTTTTCTATTCTTTAATCTGATATTCTGTTCACTCACAAATGTGGTTCCAAAATGACGCAAATGAAAGGAATTATCGTTTCAAAATTCGAGATAATTAAAATGATGTAATGAAAAAATATTAGTCACTAGTCTATTCATTCACAGCTAAAACTACATAATAAATCATAGATATATTTAAACGTTCAATCGAAATCGTTCTATGTGAACACGCTCATAAGCCTTGATAGAGAAGTTCTCGTAGTGATAGATTCGACAATAGCTGTGTTGAGTGTATTTGAAATTTCGATCATCTGCTCCATTGAAACTTTTTTTGTTTTTTATTACAACTGCTAAAGACAAGAAAAGGTGTATATTCCAAGGGAATATGAAACTAATCAGGTCAAAACGATGTCTAATTAATTTTAAGATTGCTTGTTCCTTTTCCGTTAAATTTTTTATTTTTTCATGTACTTGGCTTGTGCTTGGCATCGCATTTCGTATACGAGTGAAACTCAAACGCCATCTAGTTTCTTGTTGTACGTATGAATCGTGAGATACAGAACAAGTAAAAATGTATTTGTATGTACACAGAATCGATTCTCATCAAATAAAAATAAAAAATAAAAGTATTTGTTCTCATCGGTTTGAAAGACGGCGCCGGTGCCATTGAGGTTAAGCTCTTTCAAGTGGATTTTTGGACATCAGCCTGCATCATTCGGACCCGTGCCACGGATGGTCTCGACATTGCAGTGTCGTCGTGTTCGGTCCACTCCAGTCTCCTTCGGGAAACAGAAACCCTCTTATTAAATAAAAAATAAAATTCATTCACGACTGTCTAACATTAACTATGTGATACATGTGGAATAATTGTATTCCTATTCATACCAATATATTGGTTTAAAAATGTCAAGTTCGATATCTTTTCACAAATTCGTTAAATACAAAAATTAGTTTTAATAATAAAGATAGTGTAAGTTTTGAAATTGATCCAAAATTGTATTCATCTTTAAAGAAAAAAATAGATAATCATACTTTTATTTTGAAATCTTTCAAATTTAGATAAAATTTTTAATACATTAACAAGTGCTCGATTTGCTTCATCCATCAGTCAAACAACATCCGGTTCTTTAAGATGTGGGTGTGTGTGGTATGAAGGGTGGGTCTTAATGTTATGGACACCCACACCCATATCCTCAGGAGGGAGGGGGGGAATGTTCGATGTACACATATGTCACTATCTTGAGGGTGTGGGTGTATAGAAAATCTATCGTACTACACAAGTTCGATTAGAAGTTGTTACTATAAAACTTTCGTCAGCTGGATATTGGATAGCAAAAATTGGAGAAAGTCTCCATCCACTCACAACGTTGCGTCAACGCATCTAAGAACAAGTTTATGAAATGACACTAAACATTCTCACTCCAATTCATATAATTAATAGAAAAATAGTATCGAAACAAAATATGTCTTATTCAAATCAAAGTTTTTATATACTATCGTAAGTCGTCCACAATCCAGATATTAACCTATTTTACATCATCATACAACATACTTGAATTCTATGATGAAACTGTTAATTAAGTGTTTATTTAATTTCTCGATCATAAAATAAATATCGACTGCTGTTTATTCGATAGTGACATTCCTATAATAAGCACATGTTAATCAGTATCATTTTTAAAAACTTATATTCACAAAAATGAATTTTAAATAATTGTAAGATTTCATCTGTATTAGCATCCTGTTGATTACAATGAAAAATAATGAAAATAAAAATTTTGATTACCTCGACACCATGAGAAACGTTTTTAATATTTATTTGAAAATACTACCTGTTCTCATATATAAGAATTATATGAAGAATAAATCAATTTTCTATTGAATTTCAAATATATTTTTCGAATGAGAATTCTAACGCAACAATAAGTTTAAATTAATTAGAGATACAATAGATTACTCTACCCTATTGCTTGTTACTATTCATTGTTAAAAATTTCTATTGTCTTCATTCGAGCAAACATTCAGTAATTACCAAATTGTTTATTCAGAATTAAATAATTTCGTCCAAAAAGAATAATTTCCTTTTCTTCTTCCTTTGAATGC